GTGAAGGTCAATATATTTGTTTGAACTTTTTTCCAGAGAGTTTAATGTAAGGCTAGAATTTATTTCTGGCCACAGCATTTGCTTGTTATTGACACTTCAGCTGTTTAAGTGATAACATTAATGGTTACTTTTAGCCGTTAAAATACGATAATCACCTTTACAAGAAACCTATAGGTTCCCCCCCACCACCACCACCACCCCGAATATGCCTTTCGGGTTCTTTTATGCTCTTTTTTTTCCTGTTTTCTTCACATTTTAGTCATGATGGGTTCGGCTAGCTGCCATCATTATTGTAATATAATGCATTCAACTTTATCTTTACATCATTTTTAATCTCCCCACATAACTATATGGCTTCACGTTTACATGATTGATTCTGAATTTGGTACTTTATCTTACATGATTTATTGACGAAATGAATTTCTCGAATCGCAGTTGGAATTTGCTCATGACAGGGAAAAGGAATTGCTTCATGAAATAACAGAGTTACAGTGGAGGTATTTCGATATCTTTTCTTCTTCCATCCTTAGTTTTAGTCTGAAAACCAAAAAAATTGTCTCTAAAACTCGGTTTGGCAATTTATGTAGGCTCATCTGTACCCAAGAAGAGCTTCAAAAGTATAAAACAGAGAATGGCCAGGTTAGTTTCTGACATACTTGGCTCATCTGTCCTCACTTCTTAGTTCAACCATGGCTGCAGATTCCAACCTCGAATTTCAGGTGTAATTTTGCTTCAAACCGAAGCTGTGATGGAGGTCGAACCTGTTTCTTTGAACAGTATGATTGTAAGGAAAGCTAAAGGGAGAAAGATTGAGAAACAAATATGAGCAAGAGATACATACAATAGGCTATAGGGAGCTGGATGTTATTGTTTGTATCTTAAGCCCCTAACTTGTTGTAAATTACTCTTTATTATATTTTCTTCTCTAAGATATGTAAATACTAAACGTAGTTTAAACCTTGATTTTAGGTACATCTTCTCCTATTTTTAGGGACACTTGGTATTCATGGACACACCAATTTTCTACTGGAATTAATATTTTTAAAAATATTTAGGTAGACAACACTGGCCGTTTCTTATGATTTTGGTCTATTCGATTTTGGTCACTAATTTTTAAGAGAGTTATGTTTCAATCACTTACGTTATAAATTCATTATATTTTGGTCATTGAGCCTTTAATCTATGTTATTTTAATGATGTAACACATTAATTAAAGAGTTAATTTTTAATTTGATCTCTGAATTTTATATAAAATATTAATTTGATTCTCAATTTTTTTTATAATATATATATATATTTTTTCTTTTGAAATAATAATAGTAATTATCTCTTCCTTGTTTTCCAAAATCTATTAGCCGTCTCTCTTCAACCCTGGCCACCATTATTGTCGTGGTCCCAAGCTTTGTCGTCGTTGATCGGAGAGGATCAAGAACACTTGTTGTGAAGTCGTTGTTCTTCCAATTCTTCAAGCTCTTCCAATGGCGATGGCGGCAGCACCAACACAAGGAGCAGCTCTAGGAACATTGCTATCTGTTGTTGTTGTCCTTGTTCCATACCAAACCTTTTAGTGTTAGGATTCATCCAAGGGCCTTACACGAGAAACTCTCCCCCTTTGTTTCTGCAATTCGTATTCTTGGAGATATAGAAGCTCTTGAGTAACACCTTCAATTATCGAAACTCGATTTCTCCAGCCTATAAAACACCTTCAATATCGAAACTATTTCTCCAGTCTACGGATAAGATCGTCTCTTCGACTTTAAGAATCGAGTCCGGCCTTTTGTTTTCTGCCCGTTCTTCCCCAGCTCTAAATATCTAATAGGTTCAAAGAACAAGTAGGCATTGAAAGTGATACGAGCTTTGAAGTTCTCCAACCGTGATACGAGCATTTACTGTTCTGACATAGATGTTCCATCTTGTTAAACTGAAATGCTCGTATCACTGTTGGAGATCGTTGAAACTTCATCGTCTTTTATTGTTTCAGTGTTTTGTTGGTGTACCATACCCTGAAACAATAAAATGGTAAGCTTACCACTCATAGCTTGTTCCATATATACCAAACAAATGTTAAATTAACAGTTGCTAATAATCAACGAGTAGTCTCATTGTTTGAAAATTCTTGGATTTCACTGCAATTAAGCAGCAAACAAATATAAATATGACTTTTTTTTTAACTGAAAAAGTCAAGATATCAGTGGCATTCATGGCCATGATAATAGAACATGCTCACAGTCTTCTCTAACCTTATTTTGGCCGAAACTAACTCCAAACCCTAAAAATAGTATTTTCACTGTGAAGCCACATGCTATAAAGTCCCATTGTCGCAGCACTTGTTTCATGCAACAGTTTCACAGTAATCTTCCTCAATAAATAAACAATAGAATAAAGTTTGTTTAATAAAGTGTCTCCCATGTCGGCTTCAAAACCAGTTACGTTCTTCTTCTTCTCCATTTTCCTGGTGATATTATCAACTGCGCATGGATTCAACATCACCGAGGTCCTTCAGCCCTTCCCCCATTTCAGCATTTTCAATTCACGTTTGAGTGGTACCGGATTGGCGGCGGAGATCAACGGCATGATATCCGTGACGGTGCTTGTGGTGGCCGACGATCAGTTGCGGTCCTTCAATTACTTAGCGGAGAATGATGTGAAGAAAATATTAAGCTTCCATGTGGTGTTCGGTTACTACGATCAGACGAGGCTGAAAGCGTTCACGGCCAGGACCATCCTCCCAACGCTTTACCAAGGATCTACCTTGACTGTCAACTACGACGGAAATGGTGCGGTGAGCTTTAGATCGGCCGATGCAGGTCCCGAAATGGATGTTAAATTGCTCGGCACCGTCGAAGCTCAACCCCATAGTATTTCAGTTTTACAGATTGCTAGTACCGTAAGGCTTGGCGGACCGCCTTCCGCTCCACCGCAACAACTACCGTCACCTCCTCCATATGCTGCTCCGAAAGCTTCCCCTCCTAGGAAAATGTTAGCACCAGCTCCGGCACCGAGTACTCAAGAGAAGAAGTCCCCTGCCCCGACCCCGATCCCAACCCCTTCTCCGACCCCAAAGCCCACCTCATCTCCGGCCCCTACCCCTAAGCCAACCCCATCTCCGACCCCTACCCCTAAGCCCAGCCCATCTCCGGCCCCTTCCCCTAAGCCAACTCCATCTCCGGCCCCGACGCCTACCCGTTCCCCGGCCCCAACTGTATCGATGCCATCTTCGAATAAAACAAGCAAAGCACCGCGTGCATCCCCGCGTCGTAAAACTAAACCAAGAAACAATGGACCATCTTCATCCCAAACGAAATCGAGCAACAATGCACCATCTTCACCAAAGACCAAACCCAGCAACAATGCATCATCTACATTAAAGGCTGAACCAAGCAACAACGCACCAACTCCATCCAACGCTAACCCAAGCAACGATGCACCACCTCCATCCAAGGTTAAAACAAGCACTAATGCACCACCTCCATCCAAGACTAAACCAAGCATTAATGCACCATCTGCAGCCCCATCGGAATCGAACTCGACTACACCACCGATCGCTTCGCCACCAGCGGATTCTACTGACGAAGATGACAACGTACAGCCTTCAGCATCATTGCCGCCTAAAGCATCTAGCAATACACCACCAACAGCCCCAGCTACTTCCATTCATGCCCCAGGTCCTGCTAAATCTACTGCACCCGAACGTATAAGCTCTGGGAATTATCTTGCTTCTATCCTTATGATTCTCACTGTTTCTCGGTTTTTGTTTAACATTGTTTGATAGATTGGTTGGTTTGTTTATTGGATTTTAATCTTTGGGTTGTACTCATCTACCATGATGACATTTTCCAATCATCGTTACTCAACTCCACACATCTCAATTCACGTTAAAAAGGGATTCTCTTGATCATATGTGTTTGTGGCAAAAAAGAAATACTATTATCGATAGAGTTTAATACAATAATAATGTGATTAATTTCATCAAACGACAATTTGAAAACCCTAAAACCAAAAGCTTTACAATTTTTTCCGCAAAGAAACAAGTCAGCAACTAGAGGATTCCAAGCACATAAAAACACCATAGAAAAAAAAAATCAAATCTTGTATCAAACCTTTGAATCTCGTACATCTAAACAATGTAACAACTCGTGAAAAGATTAGAACTCGCATTTCTAAGAACCAAGTTCATCTAATGATGAGAAACAACGAATGAGATCCCGTAAAATGTCTAACTGTCATCACATGCAAGAAGGCTTCGGTTGATTGGTGTCCTCCTTCAGCCGGTTTTGTGGAATTCAATGTAGATGGTTCTTTGTATCGTGGCGCAGCTGGGTGTGAGAGGGTGCTAAGAACGTCAACAGGCGATGTGAGAACTATTTTTTCGGGTCCAGTTCTCGATCTTGGTCCCGGCTTTGCAAGTGTTTAAAGAGGCAGATTGGTCAGGTAAAGAATCTCTTTGTGTTGAGTCTGATTCCCAAGTTGTTCTGAATTGGATTGCTTCCCCATTACCAAGTTGTTTACATGAAGATGACTTTCTTATTTTTTGTGGATTTACTCGATCTCAAATTCATATCAAAGGAATCCTTCAGATATTATACGTGTATGGCTGAACCAACCATCATTAATTTAATTTAATGAGATTTTAAGTCATTTAAGTAACATCAATAACTAAGAGGATTGTTCTCATAATATATCTATATGATACATGATTTAAATTAATGAATCAATAAATCCAGATAATTATATTAAAAATATCTAATAATAGAATAGAAAATATATTATTATCGTTATTAAAAATTATAAAAATGAAGTTGTAATTTGAACATATTAGTGTTAGATTTACGTTGTTTTATCAATAACTATCAGCCTTCATATTACCAATTATTGTTGAATAAATTTACTACTAGGGAAACCAAAAGCTTCGACGAAGTTGCCTGCAACAATAATCAGGCTATGTATCGACGGTTTACGTTTGAAACAAAAACAACTCGTTTACGCTTGAAATCAAGAACAATAAACCTGGAAAATCTAATGTCATATAAAGTAATTCCAATAGGCGCAGGAAACAATGTCACTTCATAATGAAACAATCTACGGCAGTGGAATGGATCAAATGAAAAAACCGACAGAGATCTGTCTTGTATTTCCTCCCAAAGTCACCTCTCCAGGCTTGCCTGCATTGCTTCTTGGAAAACATGGATATGGAAATCTCTTGGACTATTCTGCTCCCAGACTTCAACTCCAGATGATTGTGATCTTCGTTCTCACGCAGATACTTCACAGTCTGTTAAAAAACCTGGGACTTCCATTGTTCATTTCCCAGATTCTTGTAATTGCAGCTCTCATACAGTAATTTTTTTTTCTGATTTTGATGAAGTTCTAATGAAAGGGTCGTCGGCAATCGGCATATTTTCTTAATGCAGGCGGGGATAATACTTGGTCCTACGTTTTTTGGTGACGAATTTTTCTTTGGTTAACATATCGGAGGATAATGTTTCAAATTTGGGGGCGGTGGGAGCCTGGGAGGCTTCGGCATACTGTTCTTTTTGTTTTTAAGTGGTGTGAAGATGGATCTCAGTTTGACATTCAATTCCAGCATGAAGGCCATGTATATCGGTATCCTCACCGTGATTGTGCCTATAATATCTTGTTTGATAACGATTGCGATACGTCAAGGGGGTGGCGATTTGATTTTGAACAGAAGTTTTTTTCTCGCGACGAGGTGTGCCGGGACTTCGTTCCCGGTTATACACTACCTTCTCACGGAGTTGGGAATCCTTAATTCCGAACTCGGTAGACTAGGATTATTGGTTGCGCTTATAGGTGACATGGTGACTCTAGTTCTTACGATGATTGGCATGCGGTTGAAAATATGGATTCTAAATGGAACAAAACAGGTTCTTGTTGATATTGGATGGGCTATGCTTTTTATTGTAATTGCAGCGTTTGTGCTGCGGCCTGCGATGAAATGGATGGTAAAACAGACGAAGGAGACTGGCCGTATAAAAGACGTATGCTTTAAGATCCATCTAAGAAGTATTTATGCTTTAAGAAAAGGGACATCATGAATACCAAACTCAACCAGGAGCTGCGGATGATCGGTTGCATTCACGTACCGGGCAATGTTAACTCTATTATCAGCCTATTGCATGCCTGTTGTCCAACCAGACAGAGCTCCATTGCTCTAGATGTTCTTCACCTTGTCAAGCTCAGTGGACGAGCCACACCGGTTATCATTACTCATGACAAGCCTACGGAAACCATGTTGAACCAACCGTACTCTGAGAACGTCATCGTCGCTTTCAATCGGTTCCAGCGAAACACTTGGGAAGCTGTATCGGTGAAAGCTTTCACGGCCGTCTCACCACCGAATTTGATGTACGAGGATATATGTAAGCTTGCCGTCGACCGGTTCACATCGTTTATAATACTTCCATTTCACCGGAGGTGGTGCATGGACGGGAGCATCGAATCAGAAGATCAAACCATAGAAATCTTAATTTTGACATTCTAGAAAGGGCACCTTGCTCGGTAGGGATCCATCTTGACGTACGCCGCAATCTTAAAAGCTTCAAAGTTAACTCATCATCCTACAACATTGCTGTGATCTTCATGGGGGGACAAGATGATAGAGAGGCTCTAGCGTTAGCTAAACGTATTTCCCAAGACGAAAGTGTTAGTCTTACCGTAATTCATCTCAAAGCCAGGAACAGCTTAGAAGAAACCTTTCGGGCTGAGAATGATCGAATGCTCGATGATGAGTTGTTGAGCGATATCAAAAGAAGCGTAAAGTTAACGTACATTGAGGAACAAGAAAATGATGGAACTGAAACTTCACATTTTCTTCGATCCATTGTGCAAGATTACCAACTTATCATTGTTGGGAGACGATATAAGTGTGAAGATCCTCAAACCTTGGGGCTCGGAGAATGGTGTGAATTTCAAGAAATAGGGATTATTGGGGACTTGCTTTCATCTTCAGATTTTGTTGGCAATTATTTCTCGTTGATTGTTCAACAACGACAGCAAAGGTCTGCTTAAGACCCCATGCGGATGATAATGTAGGACCTGAAGCTTCAAATTTTGTTTATCCATTGTGGAAGATTTTGTTGTGCTTAATGGTGAATTAACGGCAAATATTTAACATTTGAAATATTATAAATAATAATTAATAGCTTAATCTAAGTGTCAACGTGGAGGGGCACCAAAAGGGAAGAGGAATTCTGTTCACAGCCTAAAGACAAGATCTCAGTCTTCTCTAACCTTATTTTAGCCGAAACAAACTCCAAATCCTAAGAATAGTCTTTTCACTGTGCTATAAATTCCAATTCTGGCAGCTCATGTTTCATGCAACAGTTTTCATAGTAATCTTTCTCAAGCAATAAACGATAAAATAAAGTTTGTTTTATAAAGTGTCTCCCATGTCGACTTCTCAACCAGTTTCATTATTCTTCTCCATTTTCCTGGTGCTACTATCAACTTCACATGGATTCAACATCACCGAGATCCTTCAGCCGATCCCCTATTTCGGCATTTTCAATTCCCGTTTGAGTGGTACAGGGTTAGCGGAGGAAATCAACGACATGATATCCGTGACGGTGCTTGTGGTTGCCGACGATAAGTTGCGGTCCTTCAATTACTTAGCGGAGAATGATGTGAAGGAAATCTTAAGCTTCCATGTGGTGTACGGTTACTATGATCTAATGAGGCTGAAAGCGTTGACGACCAGGACAACCCTCCCCACGGTTTACCAAGGATCTACCTTGACTGTCAACTACGATGGGAATGGTACGGTTACCTTTAGAGCTGCCGATTCAGGTCCCGAAATGGATGTCAAGTTGCTCGGCAATGTCCATGCTCAACCCCATAGCATTTCGGTTTTACAGATTGCTAGTACCATAAGGCTTGGCGGACCGCCTTCTGCTCTGACGCAGTAACTACTGTCACTTCCTCTGTATGCTGCTCTAAAAGCTTCCTCACGCGGTTTTCGAAGTTATCAAAAATAAAACCTGCTTAAAGTAACTTATAGTAGTAATAAGTAGAATCAAATTCACTAAAAGTGAGGGAAGATTGAATGTATTTTATCTTCCCCTTATGAGTATGATTCTCCTTTCTTGAATTCTTTGTTAAGGCTTGTCAAAATTCAACAATATCTAAATTTGACTAAAATTCTACTTTTATAAATGAGTTGTACTTTAGTCATCCAAATACCTTAAATATAAAAAAATTTGTCAAAATAAAGATTTTGAAATATATAATAATGCTAAAACATAGAAATTTATTTATAAACATCATGTAAATATACTACTTATAACTTCCCCTCCTAAGAAAACGTTAACACCAGCTCCGGCATCGAGTACTCAAGAGAAGAAGTCCCTATCCCCGACCCCTTCCCTAACCCCTTCTCTAGCCTCAGCCCAGAAGCTGGCTCCTTCTCCAACACTAGTATCGGCCCCAAAGTTGATCCCATCTCTGGCCCCTACCCCTAAGCCAACCCCATCTTTGACCCCTACTCCTAAGCTAATCCCATCTCTAGCCCTGACATCGACCCCTGCTCCTACCACTACCCCTACTACATCCCCGACCCCAACTCTATCCGGGCCATCAATGAATAAAACAACCAACGCACCAGGTGCATCTCCGCGTCATAGAATTAAACCAAACAAAAATGGACCATCTTCATCCAAGACCAACCCGAGCAACAATGCACCATGTTCACCCAAGGCTAAACCGAGCAACAATGCACCATCTTCACCCAAGCATTAATATACCATCTGAAGCCTCACCCGAATTGAACTCGACTACACAACCGATCGCTTCGACACCGGTGGAGTCTAGTGATGAGGGTGACAACATGCATCCTTCAGCAGCATTGCGGCCTAAACCAGAAAGATTATGTTTTCATAATGAGGTAGCTTATAATAGATGTATTCCTTTGGTCATTGTGATTTGTATTTAATCTTAAAAATAAAGATAAACCGGTAAAAAGAATTGCTTATAATAAATGTTTTCCTTTGGTCATTGTGGTGATCATTCTTGCTACTCGCCCAAGAGTTTCGCTTAGTCATTGCACATTAACCTCCATCAACCTAATGCAGAAAACTTTGAAAAAGAAACATCGTCACCAAACTATCATTCTCTAGGTTTCCTTAATGCACCATTGTGTTTCTCCCATTTCAAATATTCCATAGTAGTACTATTATATTTGTAAATCCATCTTCATCAAGGATATCAAAATGGCCATGATAATATAATAGTCTTTCAGTTTGATTAGATAGACCCAAGACAAGATCTCATTGTCTTCTCTAACCTTATTTTAGCCGAAACTGACTCCAAACCCTAAAAATAGACTTTTCATTACGAAACCACATGCTATAAAATCCAATTGTCGCAGCTTTTGGTTCATGCAACGGTTTTCCACAGTAATCTTCCTCAAGAAATAAACAATGAAATAAAATTTGTTTATTAAAGTGTCTCCCATGTCGACTTCAAAACCAGTTACATTCTTCTTCTTCTACATTTTCCTGGTGATATTATCAAATGCGCATGGATTCAACATTACCGAGGTCCTTTAGCCCTTCCCCCATTTCAGCATTTTCAATTCACGTTTGAGTGGTACAGGGTTGGCGGCGGAGATCAACGGCATGATATTCGTGACGGTGCTTATGGTGGCTGATGATCAGTTGCGGTCCTTCAATTACTTAGCAGATGATGATGTGAGGAAAATATTGAGCTACCATGTGGTGTTCGGTTACTACGATCAGACGAGACTGAAAGCATTGACGGCCAGGACCATCCTCCCAACGCTTTACCAAGGATCTACCTTGACTGCCAACTACGATGGGAATGGTGTTGTTACCTTTAGATCAGCCAATGCGGGTCCCGAAATGAATGTTAAATTGATCGGCACTGTTGAAGCTCATCCCCATAGCATTTCAGTTTTATAGATTGCTAGTACCATAAGGCTTGGCGAACCGCCTTCTGCTCCACTGTAGCAACTACTGTCACTTCCGTATGCTGCTCCAAAAGCTTCCCCTCCTAGGAAAATGTTAGCACCCGCACCAGCTTCGGCACCGAGTACTGAAGAGAAGAAGTCCCCAGCTCCGACCCCGACCCCTTCTCTATCCTCGGACTCAAAGTTGAATACTTCTTCGACACCGATACCGATCTCAAAGCTAACCCTATCTCTATCCCCAACCCCTAATCCAACTCCATCTCCGACCCTAACCCCTAAGCTGACCACGTCTCCAACCCCGACCCCTAAACTGACTCTATCTTAGACCCCGACTCCTTCTTCGGCCCGGACACCAAAGGCTATGTTGCAAAAGACGGCTATCGGATAGAGCAAAATCACAACTGATAATTTGAGAAAATAAAAATGAAGATAAAGAAGACACAAAATTTACATGGAAAACCCCTAAATAATATAGGGTAAAAACCACGGGCAACGGTAGAAGAATTTCACTATGAGAAAATAGGAATTACAACTTCTCTATGTCTGCCAAGGAGAAAACAATGATAATTCTATCTTGATAAAAAGGAGAGAAAACAAATCTCAAGAAACTCTCTAAATTCTCTAGTATTGGAAGAAAGCTAGAATGCTTTGGGATGGTTTTGAAGCTAAATGAGCTAGGGTATTTATAGTTGAAACTTAAGGATTAATTTGTAAATATCCTAAATTTTAGGGATTAAATTTAGTAATTATCCCTTTATTTTTTCAACAATTTGGTTGCCTAAATTTGACTATATTAGACGCCCAAAACCATTTTTCCAGCTGCCCCATGTGCTTTGATTTTTCAACAATCTCCCACTTGAAGATTTAATTGGAACAATCATATCTTCACACCATTCTTTCTACCTTGTACCTTCATGTTGCTTACGTCTCTGACAGGCCACAAGAGGATAGACACCAGGTAAATTTATCAACATTGATTGTCTTCGTCATGAAATATGATATATTGTCTTTGGTATGGATCTTCTGCATATCTATCGTCCATTCTTCCACATTTTCACGAATGAAGTGGTACTGAACTCGTATATGTTTGTCCTTGAATGAAATGTTGGATTCATTTCTAGATGCAAGGCGCTTTGACTGTCACAAAACAGAGAAACGTGCTCTTGATTGTGCCCAAGCTCCTCCAATAACATCTTCAACCAAATTGCTTCTTTACTGGCTTGGGTAGCTGCTACATATTCTGCCTCTGTTTTAGATGTAGCCACAACTGACTGTAATTTTGAAACCCAGCTTACAGCTCCACTAGCAATTTTAAACACATATCCTGTAGTAGATTTGTTTTTATCCAAATCCCCTGCATAGTCAGAATTAACATACCCATTGATAAGTAAATTTGATCCTCCGTAACATAATGCAACATTTGAGGTCCCTTTGATATATCTCAGGATCCTCTTTACTGTATTCCAATGCTCTTTGATTGGATTCTCCATGTACCGACTAACTGCTCCCACTACTTGTGTAATGTCTGGTCTTGTGTATATCATAGCGAACATTAAACTTCCCACTACTGATGCATACGGTACTTGAGACATCTTTATCCTCTCTTCTTCACTGCTAGGACTCATATTGGAGGATGATTTGAATTTAATAAAAAGAGGGGTAGAAATTGGCTTACAATCTTGCATGTTGAATCGTGACAAGATATTCTTAAAGTAATTCTTTTGTGAAAGCCAAATCTTCCTATTACTTCTATCTCGGTGAATTTGCATCCCTAGAATCTTGTTTGATGAACCCAAGTCCTTCATTTCAAATTCCCTAGCCAGTTGTGCCTTCAATTCTTCAATATGATCTTTGTTGGGTCCTGCAACCAACATGTCATCTACATACAACAGCAATATAACAAAATCGTTATCACCAGACCTCTTGAAATAAGAACAAGGGTCTGCATTAAGTCTATTATATCCAAGGCACATAATGAAGGAATCAAATCTCTTATACCAACACATCGACGCCTGCTTTAGACTGTACAGAGATTTGTTCAACCTGTAAACAAAGTTCTTCTTTTCTTTTTCTTCAAAAACCTTCAGGCTGGAGCATGTAAATCTCTTCTTTAAGATTTCCATGAAGAAAAGTTGTTTTAACATCTAGCTGCTCTAGATGTAAGTTCAATGTAGCACACATTGCCAAAACTACTCGAACTGTTGTTAGTCTAACCACATGAGAAAAGATTTCATTGAAATTAATACATTCTTTTTTAGCATATCATTTGACCACCAATCTTGCATGATACCTCTTCACTTGATCGTAACCATTTTACTTGATTTTGAAGACCTATTTGTTACCAATTGGCTTCCTTCCTTGTGGCAGTGGCATAAGGTCCCATGTATTATTTTTATGAAGGGCTTCAATTTCTTCTTGCATCGCCATCATCCATAATGAAGCATCTGAGTTATTGCCTCCTGGTATGTTGATGGCTCACCGTCCTCTGTTAAAAGGCAATATGCAATATTTCCTTCTAACATAATATGATCAATTGGGACGTCTTCTCACACGATCTGATTGACGAGTTGTTGGCGCAGAACTCTCTAGTTCTTGTTCATCATGTGCTGGTTCTGCTTCTGAAGAATCTCCTTGTTCAACCTCCTTTTCCACATGTATTTGTGTAGTCTCTGACTTTTCAACGCTATCATCGTCTTCTTTTCTTTGTATTTTATCTTTTACAAAGATAACATCCTTGCTGATGATCACTTTGCGGGCAGTGGGATCCCACAATTGATACCCCTTGACTCCATCAGCATACCCCAAGAATTTGTATTTCCTGGATTTTAGATTCAACTTTGAAATTTCTTGGGAGTTGTACATCGCGTACGCTATACTTCCAAATACATGGAGGTTTGAATAATCAGCTGGTTTACCAGTCCACATCTCTATTGGTGTCTTTAGCTCTATTACAGTTGATGGAGCTCGATTCACCAAATAACAGGTGGTATTGACTGCTTCTGCCCAGAAAGATTTTTCTAGGCTTGCATCTCTCAACATTGCTCTTGTTCTTCCTAACAAGGTTTTGTTCATCCGCTCTGCCACTCTATTTTGTTGAGGAGTGTTAGCCACTGTGAACTATCTTTTGATGTATTCTTTCTTGCAAAAGTCATCAAATTTTTTGCTTGTGTATTCTCCTCCATTATCTGTTCTGAAACACTTGATCTTATTTCCAGAATCAAGTTCCACCCACGCTTTGAAGTTTTTGAAAGTTGAAAACACATCTGTCTTCTTCTTAATAGGGTACACCTAACATCTCCTGGAGTAGTCATCAATAAATGAGACAAAGTACTTTGCTCCGCCTAGGGATGTAACTGGTGCTTTCCATACGTCAGAGTAAACCAATTCTATAACACTTTTGCCTCTGGAATTTGATGTGTTGAATTTCAACCGGTGCTGCTTACTTGTTATGCAATGCTCACACAAAGTAAGTGATATATTTGTTAACCCCAAAGTAGCTTTTGCTCCACAAGGACTTTCATTCCTTGTTCTGACATGTGTCCAAGTTTCTGATGCCATAGCATTGCAGAATCTAAACTACATGAGGCAATAGAGGCTTCTGCTTCTAGCAAAGTCTCTCCCTTCAGCATATACAAGTTTCCTGCTATCTTTTCGCCTTTCACCACCACAAGCGCTCCACGGAACACCTTAATGATTCCTTTCTGTGTTTTAATTTTGCTTTCATTATTATCCAACAATCCGTAGGATAATAAATTTGTCTCAGGCCTTTCACGTGCCGTACATTTCGAACAACTTTAATTGTTTCATCATACATATTCAATTTGATGGTTCCCACGCCAACGATCTCTAAGGCGTGATCATTGCAACTATACACATATCCTCCTAAGACAGGTTCATAATGATGGAACCATTATCTTCTTGAGGTCATGTGATATGTTGCTCCTGAATCAATGAGCCATATATCTGCAAATATTTTTCTGCCTTCCACGGTGGTTGACGCTTCACAACATAGAGCATCTCCATCATCTGAAGTGTTTGCGGTATTGCCTTGTGGATTGAAGTTTTTATTTAGACTCCAACAATCATTCTTCAAGTGACCCTTCTTTCCATAGTTATAACACTTTAAATTCTTCTTACATCTCGACTTAGATCTACCATGTTTGTGACTGCTGCTTTGGCCACGTTCCATTGATCTCCCTCTCATCGTTGTCAACGCTTCTGCTTGTTGCAGATTTACTTGTCTGTCTTCCTTGTTCTTGCACCGATTTTCTTCTTGTAGAACAGCAGCTGCAACGTCATCGAAGACTAGACTGGTGACTATTGTTTGTCAAGTTGATGATGAGTTGATCATACGAATCAGGTAGACTTTGAAGTAGAAGTTCAGCACGTTATTGTTCTCCTATTGTACATCTTAAGGTTGTAAGCTGAGAAAATAACGTGTTCAGCGTGTTTAAGTACTCCGTCACTGAAGTAGATTCTGGCATCCGGAGAGTACAATTTCCTCTTAAGGAAAATTTTATTGTGCAACGATGTAGCCTCGTACAATTTGGTGAGATGATCCTATATCTCCTTAGTTGTCTTCTTCTCCTCGATACTTGACAATACTTCATCTGCTAATGCTAGATGAAAGTTTGTCATAACATTCTTGTCCATTTCGATCTATTTGTTGTCATCTGTGAAATCCACCGACCTTTCACTGATAGCTGCTAGACAACCGTCTTTCCTCAGGATGGCCTTTATCTTTAATTTCCACAATGAGAAATTTCACCCATTGAATTTTTCAATATCAAATTTCGTTACCATAACTTCTTTTACGGATAGCTCCCACTATTTCACTATCATGAATAGTTCTCTGGAACCATCAAAGAATGGGTAATATCTTCTTACTTTCTTATGTTAGATGATCCATCTTTTGGTAGCAACCACAAAGACAATAAGCAGATATTACACACTCAAATCTAACTCTGATACCAATTGTTGCGG